GAAGGGAGGGCAAGGGAAGGGGAAAAAAAAATAAGAACCAAGAGACTCATGTAATGGTACAAGATCCCAATGATGAATATAACTGTATTGTATACCAAAAATGTACCAATAAAGTTAATGGAGAAAAAAAATAAGTTTACTGTAAGACAATGTTCTGTGTTTTGCCTGCTGCAGTCTTACCCTCTCAACTGCATGAAGAGGTTGCATCAAGTGAGGATGACTGATACCATCTAGGTTTGTGTAAGTCTACTCTGTGATGTTTGTACAATGACATGATCGCCTAACCATCCATTTCTCAGAATATATCTCTGTCATTATGGTACAGATAACTAGTTTTGGAGCTATTGTTGCTATATACAATATGTTCATGAGCGTTATGTCTTCTTGATCTGTTGGTTTTTTTGTTTGATATTTAACATCTTCTTTGTTATGGTTGAGATCTAATCCCCCTCCCCAGTCTCATGTGTTCAGAGATGGGGCTTTTAGAAGATGATGAAATCATGAGGGTTCTACTTTCATCAATGGGTTAATTCATTGATTAAATCATAATTTTGATGGCATTATTAGGATGTAGTAGAAACTTAGGAGGTGGGGCCTAGTTGAAGAGAGTGGGTCATGCAGCCTTGACCTTGGGGACTATATCTTATCCCAGGCCATTCCTCTGTCTCTGGCTCTCTTCTTTCTTCGCTCTTCTCTCTTTTTCCTGAGTGCCATAAGGTGAGCAGCTTTCCCTCTGCCATGCCCTTCTCTCATATGTTGTCTCAAGACTAAATGCAATAGAGCCAGCTGGCCACAGACTAAAACTTTTGCAACTGTGAGCCAAATTAAATCTTTCCTCCTTCAAGTTGTCACAGCAATAGAAAGCTGACTACCACAGTCTTTATAGTACTTTAACTTTAAATTCTATTTTAAAAATAAATTCTATTTAAAAATAAATAAAATTGCTGTCTTAATTATTTTTCAATTCTCATGACTTAATCTTTTTCTACTTCTTTAGATTTTACATGTCTAAATCTTTTAAGGTTTTAAATCTGTCTTTTATAGTTTATACATTACTGGATCTTATTAATTTTTTTTAAAAAAAGAAATTCTAAGAGTCTCTATTTTCTGATTGATAAGTTCAATATTTATATGTATTTCTCCCTGGTTTTGTCATATTATTTTGTATTTCCTATACTTCAATTTTTTGATTCATCTCTCCTTTCCAGGTTTCAAATAGGGAGATTGAATAAAACCTTTAATTATATTTATTTTACCTCCATAACTTTCTTAAATGGATTAAAATCTTCATTTTTTCCCCTCTTAGACACATATGACTGCACATCTTTATCTGCAGCCAACCCTGCTTTCCCTCCCAATACACTGTTATCCCCAGCTTTAGTTCTAGATTATAGTCACCCGGAGAAAGAAAAACATCCTCCCTCCCTCAGCCTGTCCTCCAGTACCAGATCACAACTACTTTCTCTTTCTCCCGTGGAGGGAAGAAAGGGAAATGTACCTTAAAGTCCTTGTAGCTCTCCACATTAATGCACTTTTTCTCTGAAACATTTATTACCATCAAACATTTTACTTATTTATTGTCTAGACTTCCTTATTAGAATGTGTCATGCCTGATCTGAGTATGTCTCTCTCAGTAAATATGTAGCTTTCAACAAACAATAGAAAACCACTAAAGGGCCATTCATGCTCAGTAAACAGAACAGATGGCCGTAAAGAAAATTTAAGACAGGACATACAACCTTCTCAGCACCGAAAAGCCTGGTTTTAACTACACAGGTGCACTGACCATCCTGGGAACTTTGACCCCAAGCATTCCATACCAGATTCCCCATTGCCAAAATCACCAATCTCCAATCTCCATCTCCAAACCCTATAAAAACTTAACTTTCCCTCTGGCCAGCTGCTGACATCTTTCTCTATCTCAGCTTGCCTGCACCCAGGCAGAATAAATCAAGCTCTTATTGCTCACACAAAGTCTATGTCCAAGTGGTTTTTCATATGCCATTTGTAACAAAATGTAAGTTCTTTTAATTTTAGTAAACTTATAAAATTTTCCCATTCAGTTTTCTTTTTTTTTTTTTTTTTGGTACCGGCGATTGAACTCAGGACCTTGTGCTTGTGAGGCAGGTGCTGGAACCACTGAGCTAAATCCCTGGCCCTTCATTCAGTTTTCTTATGACTGGACTGGGCTGGAAGAGGCAGACAGCAGCCTTTGCTGGTTTGCTATCTTGAAATGATCCACTTTTTCTTAGGCGAGTGATATGGAGTGAATAATTTGTGCTCTCCAAATTCAGGTGTTGGTAGTATTTTGCAGATGTGATAGTATTAGCAGGTGGGTGGGGCCTTGGCAGGTTATTATGTCGTGAGAGTGGAGCTCTCATAATGGGATCAGTGCCCTTACAAGGAGAGCTTACTTTCTCTCTGCTCTGCACCAGGTGGAACACATGAGAAGATGGTGACTGCATTTGCTGACCTCTTGATTTTGGATTTCTCAGCCTCCAAAACTGTGGGAAATAAATGTCTGTTATTTAAGTTACCCAGTCTATCCTTTTTTTTTTTCTATAATAGCCCAAATAAGACAGCTAGTTGGAGTTGGTTCTTACTATTTGCAGCCACAGAGTCCTAAAATAACAAGTAAAATGATCATACTATGAAGATTAAATTGTATATTTTAACAGGATTAACTATATTTTAAAGAAAGGATCCTTTTTAGCAATATACAAAATAACACAGTAGGGATGTAAACATCAAAATCCATAATATGGGAAACTATAGGACAAATGGTCCATTAAAAAAAATAAATTTGGGGGCCGGGGATTTAGCTCAGTGGTTCCGGTGCCTGCCTTGCAAGCGCAAGGTCCTGAGTTCGATCCCCGGTACCAAAAAAAAAAAAAAAAAAAAAAGTAATAAAAAAAATAAATTGGATGGAGAAATGAGGAAAGGGAGATAGAACCTTAAAAGCTGTATCAACCAATTTCAATAATTGTTTTAAATCTTAAAAATTGTTATGAATCAATGGAGGAAATCTGAATATTGACTGGATATTTGATAATGTTAAGAATTGTTAATATTTTATGCATGATGGTGACAGAAGTGATAGATAGTGATAACTAGCCATCTAGAAATGGTAATTCAATATATCCTATGAAGGAGAAGCATAAAGATGAGGAGTATACTTTAGACTGGGAGAGGGTCAAGGAAGGCCTGTTCGATGGAGTGACATTTAAGATAAATATGGTAGAAGCTACTGGGGAGGAAAGAGGAAAAGTGCATTCTAAATAGGAGGACAAATGTGGAAGTGTCTTCCGGAGTCCAGAAATCTAGCAACTAGGTGGATAATGAACATACTGATCAATATGGGAAGATTGGTGGAAAAGCAGATTTGAAGAGAAAGATCAAGTCTGAGCATTTTGTTGCATACCTGAAATCCCAGCACTCAAGAGGTTGAGGCAGGAGGACTGTGAATTTGAGGCCTGCCTGGCTATGCAGTAAGTTTTAGGCAGTTTGAGCTGCATAGTGAGACCCTTTCTGAAAACAAAAAACAAAATTATAACAACAAAATTAGTTTACTTTAAGATGCTCATGACAGGAGATATTTAAAGATGGTATCAGGAGGTAATTGGATATAGGTGTTTGAAGCTCAGAAAATAGATTAAGTTAAAGAGTGAAATTATAATTTGTTTTAATAAAAATTTCCTAAAATTATAGTAATTGAAGAAAATTGAGAAATTGATTACTAAATTTTGTGCCTATTCTAGCCAGGGGAAAATATCTCAGCATAACTTTAATTTAGTATTATTTTCCTTAAAAAAGAATAAAGCTTATTCTGTTGATGAATGCTCTTGAAGCCCCCAGGAGTCCCAGCTGGCACCCATGGTAGCTGTTCCAAAGAAAAAGAGGAAAAATGCTTATTTTGATTTAAAATGAAGTAACTAATGATGTGGGGAAGTATCTTGCCTTTATTTTATTCTCAGCATGATGGTTTTGTATGGTGAAAGATGAAGTGTTAGGGCTGAATATGAGTACTATGGGGGAAAATACGTGAGTGGATATGTCTGTATTACATAAAGAATGTTCAGGTGCTTAGTGGATAGGTTGCAAAAACCAAGATGGCACCTTAAAATATCTAGAGAATTCTCAATGTAAAAATAGAAAATGGTGACATCTACAAGGAGCTTTGGGTGTCTCAATATTAATACTTGGAAAACAAAGGTTATTGCAAGGGGATATGGCTGAAAACTTTTTTAGGTAACAGCAATGGTGGAAATATTTCAGGGGAGGAGAAGGTATGAGATCGTGAGGGGCTAGCAACATTAGAAATGAGGTATCTCTGGGACTGGGAAGGTAGCTCAGGGGCAAAGTGCCTGCCTGACAAGCACGAGGCCCTGAGTTTGATTCCTGGTACCAAAAAAAAAAAAAAAAGAAGAAAGAAATGAGATATCACTGCTTTGCCCTTATCCTTCAAATTACTATTTATTCTTCTCTGAGATCTCGGCTCAGATTCAAGGGGCCATTACCTGCAGCTGTCTTTTCCCTCTTCAGGTCATTTCTTCATTATGGGCTGGCACGCATTCCACACATTCTTCTATAGCATGTAATACCAATGTAATAAAATCATTAACTGTGCATAGAAGTGGGGACCTCAGGCACACATTGGATGAGCAAGAAATATAACAATTTGTACTTGAAGATCTCATTCAACCATAGTGGTAGAAACATCAATTTGAGGGCCAAATGGGTTCTATAGTTCTATAGGACCAAAGATCAAGAGCTGGAAGGAAGAAGAGGCAAAAGAAAGGTGGTGGAATCTCACCTTATCTTCAGTGTTGTCTACCCATGAAGCTGTCTTGTTAGAACACTGAAGTTTTATTTGATTCTATTTCCTTAGGCAACTTTGCTGTTAGACAATAACAGTCAGAGAAGAGCCTTTTGTGGTCCAGGCACCAGCTGTGGCGTAACAAATATAGACTATTTAAATGGAGAGAATATAAAAGAATGGAAGTAGCTAGAGAGAAAAAATACAGTTAATATTTTTTCTTTTTCTCTTTCTTTCTTTCTTTCTTTCTTTCTTTTTTTCTTTCTTTTCTTTTCTTTTTTTTTAGTACCGGGGATTGAACTCAGGACCTTGTGCTTTTGAGGCAGGTGGCAGCACCACTGAGCTAAATCCCTGGCCAATACAGTTAATATTTTAAAAATAGTAGTTCTAACATATATTTACTTTGTCTGGGAATATGAGTTAATGTTATATAGGAGAAATAATTTGCTAATCTTTTCTTGCCCCATAAGTCTAGGATGGAAGCTTAAACTTCTTTAAAAAATAGGTGTAATTCATGCTTGTCTAGCATATGCAAGGCCCTGGATTTGATCCCAATACATTGCTCACATGTGCACGCACGTGCACACACACACACAAAGACACACAAAGTTTACAAACATTATCCAAAAGGCAGAATCAACCCAAGTGTCCACTGATAGATCAATGGATAAACAAAATGTAGCATATACTTATGAGCTTTTTTTTTGGTACTGGGGATCAAACTCAGGTCCTTGCACTTGCGCAGCAGGCAGCGAAACCACTGAGCTAAATCCCCAGCCCCTTATGAGCTATTATTTAACATTAAAGAGGAAGGCAACTGTGATACATGCTGCAACATGGATAAAAGCTAAGGACATTATACCAAGTGAAATAGGCCAGTCACAAGACAGCTCAGTGAAGTACTCAGAGTAGTCAAATTCACAGATAGGAAGTAAAATGATGGTTGGAGGAATTGAGTTATTCTTTAATGAGTAGAGTTTCAGTTTTGTACACTGAAAAGAGTATGGAGAGATGGGTGTTGGTGATGGTTGCACAACAGTGGGAATGTACTGGATTCCACTGAACTATACACTTAAAAATGGTTAGAGTATTAAATTTAATGTCTCGCAAATTTTACTGCAACTAGAAAATACTACTAAGGAGTGGAGTTGTACCTCAGCAGCAAAGCATGTGCTTAGCAGGCTCAAAGTTCTAGCTTCAATCCCCAGCACAAAAAACCCAAAAAATTATCCATGATATTGTATAATCAGGTTTTTAAAAATCTCATTCCCATCAGCTAGAAGATAAGTTCTGTGAGTGAGACCTTATAGATCTTAGTCACTACTCTCTGCCCACCAGGGAGTACAGTTCCTAGCACATGGCAGCGGTTTTGTAGATATTTGTCAAATGAATAAATAGCCCTCAGTGGGATTTAGGGGCAGAGTATGCCTCAAGAAAGCAGTATCTCATATAATGAGTTACCTAGGAAACACTGGCAAAGGTTGCATGATTTGCTTCTGATAATATTCAGTTGTCATAGTGCTTGGGAATTTGTGAGCATATATCTTGATTAAATGCAGAAATAGAGGAAAAATAAGTATCGTATATACAAAACTTGAGCCTTTTAATTATAGAAAATAGAACAGGGAAAGAATGTAGAAGGGAAGTGGGAAAGATTTGTAGGAAGCTCAGAGGGAAAAAAGATGGCTCTAGGAAAACAAGCAATTGTGACTGAAGAGAATGTGAGTTAAAATTAAAAATCCATATGTCTTTTGACTCAGCAAGCTAATCCTGGGACCTATCCCACAGAGATAAAACCACAAATTCATATAAACACACATACATGGGTGTTATCGCAGCAGTGTTCATTGTGACAAAAAGCAGAATACAAAGTACATGGCTGAATAATTTATGGCATATTAACATCATGAATTATTATTTATCCACTAAAAAGAATGAATTAAATCTAAACCAAATGACTTGGAGAGATTTTCATGTGGTATTAAGTGAGAAAAGAAACATATAGAAAAGCATACATAATATGTTCTTTTAGAAAAAAAATGGTAAAATAAACAAATCCCCAATTCTCTGTATGTGATTTTCTTGAACATAGAGGAATGAGCACTTGGGTGGTGATCTGGCTTCTGATGTTGGAGGGAGGAAGAGGAGGAAAGGAAGGAGGAAATAAACCTGAGAAGAAAAAAGAAAAGCATCACATTGAAATAAAAAAGCATGCACAAGGTATATTTATGTAAAGTTACATGTAATACAGAAAATAATCTTCCTTGTGGTGATGGGGATTGAGCCCAAGGACCTCACACATGCTAGCATACGTGTGCCACTAAGCTATACTGACAGTCCTGAAAATACTTCAAGTAAAAAGTTGTCCAGGGCTGAATTTAGCTCAGCAGCACAGTGCCTTCCTGGCAAGCATGAGGTCCTGAATTTGATCCCTGATACAAAAAAAAAAAAAAGTTGTCCAGAAAAAAAATCAACTGCTTGCTTACTGTGGTCTGTTCACTTCAATTCCATTATTTCTGTGACTTACATGTGAATGGTAGAGGGATCACAGTCTTAAGCAACATTGACTACCAAGAGACATGAAGACTCTGATAATGGTCAGTTTCCCTTTTTCCTGACTGTGATGGAGGTAGTAAATTGGGGTTGGGGAATGTGGGGCAACTGACTTGCATATTGGGAACAAAATTGCTTGATTATAAAGATAGAAATGTAGTTGTTCCTGAGTATCTTACAAATGACTCTCAGTGGTAAAAACACAAGGGAAGGGTGTAGTCCTTTTCTTCTAAGGACCATACTGAGAGGTTGAAAGCATCCCATTGGCCAGACTCTAGTCATATGATCCCCATGTAGCTGCAAGGGAGGCTAGGAAATGTGGTCTCTGGCTGGCATAAAACTGGCCAAAACTTCCATTATTGAGGAAGACAGGATAATAGACATTAACTAAAAAACCACACAACTATATCCTTATAAACCTAAGAGGGAATGGTAAAATAAACTTCAAAGCATAAAATAGGAAGTCCTAATCCAGTCATGGAGGGTGGTGGGGGAGGTTTGGAAAGTTAACTTTTTCCTAAGAAAACGGTTTTGAGCAGCATCTGATGTTGGGAGCCATTCTACATATTTTAGGGAAAAATCATTTCATAATTAAATTATGATTAGGGCTGTCTGAGGCCTAGTCTTCTTGACTGCAGGCCAGCTATAGCATGTAGAAGCATAACTCCATTTTGCCTCTGGTCACAGTTGAGGCCTCAATTGTTCCATGATGCTGTGATGGTCAAGGGAAAGATTACATCAGCTGAAGACATCCTGGTTCTTTGAGAACCAAGTAGTAATACAAAAAGAGAAAGATTTCATCTGGAGAGGGACAAATTCCTTATCAGTTTAAACTCATTCCACCTACTGTTGTAAAAACATTTTTCTCATCTCACTGTTCTAATCAATTTAAGCTACTCTTGGACCTAAGATCCTCATCAGTATAAGATCCTCATTTTCATAGGAATACCACCACCCTCTGAGTCATCTGATACTCCCTATGAACTCAATAAATAGTGGCAAGCTTGGAGTGTCGCCTTTGTCTTTGCCCACTCTGAGGCACTGACGTCCTGCCCCCCCCTTAGTTTGAAATTATACAAGTCTCTATTGTCTTTTTTTCTTTAGCCCTTGCTGTCTCCCTTTCTAGGTAGTCAGAGGATTCATCACCCTCTGATAATCTGAAGGAGTTAACTAAATGAAGGAAGGAAAAAGGTTCTGGGAGGAGGAATAGTATACAAAGATTCCAAAATGGAAGGGATAAGGCATGTCTGAGGAATTGAATATTTACTTTAAAGAAATACATAAATTACCAGATATGATGGTGCATGGAATCCCAGCACTCAGGAGGCTGAGACAGGAGGATTGCTACAAATTCTAGGCATGCCTGGGCTACATAGTGAATTCAAGGCAAGCCTGAACTACATAATGAGACCCAGTCTCAAAAAATCTAGGAAGAGATAGAGATAGAGATAGAGAGAGAGAGAGAGAGAGAGAGAGAGAGAGAGAGAGAGAGAGAGAGAGAGAGAGAAGAGCTGTGGAGCTGTGTTTAAGATTAAAAAATTAGCAGAACTACCATTAAAATTCAAAATGTAAGTGTAATCAACTATGACGATAGAGAAGTATGAAAATAGTTAACAAAATTAGGTCATGTAGAGGGAGAGAAAGTGGGATCGTGTATATAAACTGGCTTTCTTATTTTTTATAGTGAATGGTATTATAGCATTGCGATATACCAATAGAGAATGAATAGTAAAAAAAAAAGAGATTTAAGGTGACCATTGACTTTTCCAAGTATAAATATATTTAAATGTATAAGTTAACCATGAAATGAGCTAGAATGACTAAAGCTAATAACATATCCTTCAAGAAGTAGAGGGAAGAGGAATTTGGAAGGGTTTCCTAGTCATTTAATTTATTACTATTATGGAAGAGTTAATAGATACCAAGTAAACAAATAGAAGATTAAGTACAATAGATATAATTCTTACAAAGTGACCATTAGAAATAAATGAGACTACACATCTCAAAAAATGACAGAAGGGAATCCTATATAAAATAAAGCAGACAAATCAAAGTTTAAAATATGCCTACCATATTACTAAATATACCTACCATACATATTAATACGTAAAAAGAGGCGTTCATATTCAAGGATAAAGCAAAACCCAATTAGATACTACTATGAAATATTTATGTAAAATTAAATGGCTTTGTCAAATTGAAAGCCAAAAAAAATGGGCAAAGACATGCTAAATAAATGGAAATAAAGAGAGCACACATATGTGAAAATTAATATCAAACAAGGTTGAATTCAAATAAGATTGAGACAAAGAAGGGCAGGGTAGAATACATAATGAAAGACTAATAGCAATCAATATCTATGAACCAAGTAACTTGTTATCAAAATTTGTAAAAAAAACCATGGAGGAGTACAAGAAACATATACAGAATAGTTTTTAATTTAGCTTCATCATTCCATGGCACAGTCAAAAAGAATTGTACAGTATGTAACTAACAAAATTTATAGGCTACATTATTAACTTTAATGTTAAAATCTACTTTATTAATAGCAAATAAATAAAGTAAATGGACTCTATAC